TGTGCCGGGAAAGCTGGCCCATGAGTGATGACTGATATATGAGGAAAGGGCATTCAGGGGACTGGGATATAGGCAGGGAGAGGATGTTGAAGCTCAGGAATGAGAGCAAGTTGACAGCCCCTGAGCTGGGTGCTTGTCCCCCATTACCCTAAAGGCCACCACAAGTGTCGCCATTCCTGTATCACCCATGAAGAGACTGAGGCTCAGACACACCTAGTATCTTGCCCAAAGTGCAGTTCCCTCAGGTTAACAACCCTGTGTTGATGGGCTGATGTGAATGTGGCCATCTAGGTACAGAGCAGGGAACAGTCATAGTGAAGTCCCAGGTGAAATGGGGTGCAGGAGGGACCTGGAGGATCATGGGAAGTGGTGAAAAGGCTACAGGGGAGGGAAGGTTGGAAGAATGACTGGATAGGAGTTTTTCAGGCAGATTGAGCCTGAGAGAGAGAGAAAGAGAGAGAGAGAGAGACAGAGAGAGAGACAGAGAGAGACAGAGACAGAGACAGAGACAGACAGAGACAGTTGTGGGAAGAGCAAGTCGAGATATACAAGGACATAAATCATAAAGAGGTGACTGACCAGGGTGGATGAGGGGTGCCTGGTTCAGTTCTGCCCAGTCCTGAGGGGAGGCAAGGGAAGTTTAGACAGCCTCTGTTACAGGGTTCCTGCTGAGCATTGCTGGGGAATTTGGACAGGAACCAAGGGCAGTGAGAAGCTTTGGAGGTTTTGAAGCTAAGTAGAGAGAAAAGAATTCATGTATTTGGAAAATGACTGAGGTACAACAGGGGATGTTTGGAGAGGGTGAGGTTAGCTTGTCAGGGAAGTCACAGGAGGGGCAGGAGAGAGATGTAATTTAGGGTTCATGTTGGAAAATCGTAAGAAGTGGCCTGGCTGAGAGGCCACCAAAAGAAAAAGTCAAAATCAGAGGAAAAGAATGTCCAGAAAAGGGACTAAGGATAACAGGACCTTAGAAGCAAATGTCAAGAAAAATTTTAAGTTTTTGCAGAGAGGTGAGGAGTTGAAGAGTTACATGAAACAGGTTTTAAAGAGTGATAACTGACACAGTGAACTACATTGGGTTTCTTTTTTTGAGGCAGGATCTTATTCTATAGTCCAGGTTGGCTTGGAACCCACTGTGTAGCCCAGGCTGGCCTTGAGCTTGGAGTAATCCCCCTGTGTCAACCTCCTGAGTGCTGGAATTTATAGATGTGAGCCACTGTGCCTGGCTAGACTAAGTTCAGTAGTGTTTTAGAAATTTAAAGAGACCTAAGGACAAAAGCAAATATGCTAACAAAAAGAATATAGATTAAGGAGAAATAGAAGAGAAATAAGGTAAAATATTAGTAGCATAGAGCAAAGACAGAAACCGCTGGAGGGAGATCAGCAAGTGTGGGGGCAGTTAGCCATGGTACAGGGCTAGAGCACGACTGACGGTTCTGGAAGGCCAGGGAGTGTGTTGACATGGGCAGCCTCATGAGCGGGGTTGTGGGGGGTGAGAATTGGGCTCAGCAGTTTGAGAGCTTCTCAGGCACTGCCACTGCTGTCCTTTCACCCTGGCACTGGCACTGTCAACACAGAGGGCTTTGCTGTCTTAAGTTCGAAAGCAGCCTGGGAGCTGGGCTCATTTCCTAGCCTTCTGCTTTTTCATTGTCCCCTCCCTCAACAACATCCATAGCTGGCCTCTGTGTGACTGGACTCTGCTCTTTATTGCCTCCCCTCTTCCTTTGCCCTCAGTTGCCCCAATTCTTTTAACTCCTGCTGGAAGATCCCAGAGATGCCGTCTGTTTCTGCCTCCCGGGCTCAGGTCTGTGTTAGGTGTCTGGAACTCAAGGAGAAAGGTAGTTGGCTGACTGTTGGGGTCTCCCTGCTCCCCACTGCAGGTCATCTTCCATGATGTTGCTGTGCTGACGGACAAGCTCTTCCCTGTCGTGGAGGCCATGCAGAAGCACTTCAGTGCTGGCTCAGGAACCTACTACAGCGACTCCATCTTCTTCCTCTCCGTTGCCATGCATCAGATCATGCCCAAAGGTAATCTGGACTTCCAGGAGTGATGGCCCCAGGGTTTCAGATTATGCACAAACTTCCCTGGCTCAGTATTGCTGGTGCCCTTCTGTTAGCTCATGAAATCCCCTAGTCCTGTGAAATGACTTATAAACTGAAGCTTTGTGTCACCTATCTGGGGCTTATATAATCATTCAAGTAGCAGAGGTAGAATGGGAACCCATGTCTATCTGGTTTGGAGTCCTACCTCTCCAAATGCTCTTTCTGTCCCATCACGTGGCCCACGTGGGAAGGCCCAGTACAGGTATGGACGGTAGGTCAGACATGAGGAGGGTATGTCTCCTGCTCCCTTAGGTTCCAGGGGCAGCTTCTAGCCCCAGCCCTGCCACCAGCCATGTGCATGCTTTGGCTAAGGTGTTTTGTGTCTCTAGGTTTCAGTTTTTCCACCTGTGGAATGAGGGCTGAAGCAGTTTATGAGCAGTTTTAGCCTTTCTTCTGCAAATCTAGAGCTTGCAGGACTGCTCCCAGGTTGGACTAGCCCTGGAGAGCCAGGGAAGAGTCCTGCACTGATCCTACCTCTCTTGCCTGTGCCCTACACCATGCCTAGCTGTCAACTTCTGTCTGCTGTGTATATCAGGTTTTGGAGTAGGGTTATGTCTGGTCACAGAATTCAGTGTGTAACGAAGTATGTAACAGCTCAGCTTGACAGACCATAACAAAGCATTTGACCAGTCCTGTAGCCTTGAACAAGTGACTGGCTACACCAAAGGACAGTGGATTAAAAGGAAGCATGCAGACTTTGCTGAGTTCCTGTCTCCCCAATCTACCCTGCCCATGGGTGCTGGGCTCTAGGCCAGGTTTGTGCTTTGGGGTGCCCAAAGTATCAAATACATACGGCACAGACTACGTACAAAATCTTAACCTTCTACAATGCTAAAAATTATTCTACCATCCATTATACTCTTACCACTAACCTGATTCACAAACAACAACAACAACAGGAAGGCACAATAGGAAGGACCAAACCTTTGTATGTTTGCGGGGCTATGAAGTCCATCTAAGCATTTTCAGTGCTTTGCTTTATTTTAAGCTACGCTAACTTGTATTCGAGTTGCTGTGACGACTAGGTAATTTAAGGTGTCATTGGTGAAAAAAAATTTTTTCGATTTTTGCACACATACAGAATTTGGGGTTATATTTTTGGCAACTTATAGAAAGAAAATAATTGAGGGTTTCAAGTCTTACTTAATTTTGTTTTTGGGGTTTGGCAAAATTTAAGATAAGGCCACCACCTGGGGTGGTGGGGGGTAAGGGGGGTTTGCAATAAAAAAGATAATACTGTATAGTGCGTGCGTCGTTAAGTTGAAATTTAGTATTAATAATTTATATGTCCTACAAGCATTAACTTATAGCCACCTGTTGGAGATGTGTGGAACAGATAATACATACAAGTCCAGCTAGACTAGGGTTGGATCCTTCATGCCTTGACGGCTATGCTGAGTCACAGCATCCCCAAAAATAAAAAATACCAAATGTATGACACCACAGTTATGTTAGGCATGGGCTGATTAGACATTAATCCATCGAGATGTCTTATTTAAGGGGAACGTATGGACGATAAAACATTCAATGGCCCTGAAGTAAGAACCAGATGTCTGATAAAGTGCATTGTCAGCTACCCCCAAGTTAAATGGGCCCGGAGCGAGAAGAGAAGTACTAGTGGGCGGGTTGCTGGTTTCACGGAGGATGGTAGATGAACAGATCAACATTGGAAGTGGATAGTCATATGGAAGAGAAATGATTTGACTAAGATGGTGTATGCCTGATAACGCAGATATGTCAGTAAAGCATTGATATTATGTATTACATGGATATTCATATGGATTATAATATTATGTACGTCAATAATAATATGTATTATGTAATATTAATGATTTATGGTACTTGCTTATATGCTAGTGGAAAGTAGTTTAATGTACTATATACATTAATGTATTATGTATGGTAAATATATGTTTGTACTTGCTTAATTATTAATGTGGTATATAATTGAATGCACGAAGTACATAAGTCAAGGAATAGTTTAATGAGAATGTCAGCTTTGGGTGTTGATGGTGGGAAAGGTTTCTCTTCCTTGATGTCTAAGGGGATTTTGGATCCCATTTTTGGTTTACAAGACCAGGGTAATTATTTATACTACCTAGATATACTAAAGTTTTATGATTGTGTTTTCTACTAAACCTGCTAGTGGTATTAGGATTAAGATGATTGAGAAGTATAGAATTGAGGCTACTTGGCCAATAATGATGAATGGGTGTTCGACTGGTTGACCTCCAATTCATGTTAGGGTGATTAGGTCTGCTACTAGGATTCAGAATAGTAGTTGGCTGATTGGTCGGAAGGTTAGGCTTCGTTGGGCTGATGTATGGAGTATGGGGATAATAGCTAGGATTAGGATTGATAGAATTAGGGCTAATACCCCTCCTAGTTTGTTTGGGATAGAGCGTAGGATAGCGTAGGCGAATAGGAAGTACCATTCTGGTTTGATGTGGGGTGGTGTGTTTAAGGGGTTTGCGGGGGTGTAGTTGTCTGGGTCTCCTAATAGGTCTGGGTAAAATAGGACTAGGGATATGAGGATAATTGTTAGTATTAGAGCTCCTAGGATGTCTTTGATTGTAAAGTATGGATGGAATGGAATTTTGTCGGCATTGGAGTCTAGGCCTGATGGGTTGTTTGATCCTGTTTCGTGAAGGAATAAAAGGTGAACTATCACTAGGGCTGTGATGATGAATGGTAGGATGAAGTGGAAGGCGAAGAATCGGGTGAGTGTGGCTTTGTCTACTGAGAATCCTCCTCAAATTCATTCTACTGGGGTTGTTCCTATATATGGGATGGCTGATAATAGATTTGTAATGACCGTAGCTCCTCAAAAAGATATTTGTCCTCATGGGAGAACATATCCTATAAATGCGGTTGCTATTACTGTGAATAATAAGATGATGCCAATGTTTCATGTTTCTTTGAAGTGGTAAGACCCATAGTAGATACCTCGTCCTACGTGTAGGAACAGGCAGATGAAGAATATGGATGCGCCGTTGGCGTGTAGATATCGGATTATTCAGCCGTAGTTAACGTCTCGACAGATATGGGTTACTGATGAAAAGGCCGTAAGGGTGTCGGATGTGTAGTGTATTGCTAGGAATAGCCCGGTAACGATTTGTAATCCTAGGCATACTCCTAGTAGGGATCCGAAGTTTCATCATGTTGAGATACTAGATGGTGTTGGTAAATCGATGAGTGAGTGATTAATAATTTTGATTAGGGGGTGTGATTTACGTAGGTTTGTCATTAGGGTTTCTGTAGTTGAATTACAACGATGATTTTTCATGTCATTGGTCTTAGTTAAATGCTATGTAGGAACTATGTCCAATTATGTTTTTATTATGAGTGTAGCTCTTGTTACTTGTTTTATTGGTTTGTCAATTAAACCCTCTCCTGTTTATGGTGGGTTGTGTTTAATTGTTGGTGGTTGTGTTGGTTGTGGGATTGTGTTGAGTTTTGGTGGTCAGTTTTTAGGTTTAATGGTGTTTTTGATTTATTTGGGTGGTATGTTGGTTGTATTTGGTTATACTGCGACTATGGCTTCTGAGGAGTACCCGGAGTCTTGGGGGTCTAACTGGCTAGTTCTTGGGTTATTGGTGGCTGGTATTGTTATAGAGTTGTGATTAGTGTTTTGGTTAGGTAATGATGGTGGTGTGGAGTTGGTTGTTGAGTTTAATAATATAGAGGATTGGGTGGCTTTTGAAGGGGAAGAAATTGGGTTGCTTAGTGAGGATGGGATGGGTGCGGCGGCTATGTATAGTTGTACTGGGTGAATAGTAGTAGTTGCCGGGTGGACTTTGTTTGTTAGTATTTTTATTATTATTGAAATTACTCGAGGTAATAGGTTAGGGTGAGTAGTGAGATAATGGTAATATTTATTAGGAATGATAGTGAGTAGAGTTTGATAAGTCCTTTTTGGTTTGATGTAATGATGGAAGCAGTTATTTGTGTGTTGGCAATTGTTTTTGGGATAGCTTTTTCTAGTCAAATTAGGTCTATTAGGTTTGATGCCATGCTTTGGCTTATAGTTAGGCTTTTGATTGGTAATAAGTGGTGAATGATTGATGGGAAGAACCCTAGAAGTGTGGTGAATTTGTATGTGGTGGTAGGTGATTTGTGCGTAAGTATTGAGGTTAGGTTGTTTAGGTCTATGGCGATTGTAAATCCCAAGATAGAAATTGTAATGGCTATTAATTTTAGTGATAGTGGTATTGTTATTGTGGGAATATTAGTTGGTGGGAGATTTGAGGTGATTATGAATCCTGCTAGGATACTTCCTAGGGCAAGGCGGTTAATAGGGTTGATTAGTTGGGGGTTATTTTCGTTTATTGTAATTGTTGGGATGAATCGTGGTTTAGATATTACAACGAAGAAGATGATTCGTGTGCTGTATACAGCGGTTATTGAGGTGGCGATTAGTGTGATTAGTAAGGCTCAGGCGTTGGTATTAGACGTGTTTAGGGTTTCGATAATTAAATCTTTTGAGTAGAAACCTGTTAAGAATGGTATTCCTGTGAGTGCGAGGCTTCCGATGGTTAAGCAGGATGAAGTGAATGGTATGGGCTTAAAGAGCCCTCCTATTTTTCGGATGTCTTGTTCATTATTTAGATTATGAATGATTGACCCAGAGCACATGAATAGTATGGCTTTGAAGAAGGCGTGGGTGCAGATGTGAAGAAATGCTAGGTGTGGTTGATTAATCCCCAGGGTAACAAATATTAAGCCTAGTTGGCTTGAGGTGGAGAATGCTACAATTTTTTTGATATCGTTTTGTGTAAGCGCATATTGCGGTAAATAGTGTGGTTATTGCGCCTAGGCATAGTGTTAAAGTTAGGATGGTTTGGTTGTTTTGTGTTAGTGGGTAGAATCGAATTATTAGGAATACTCCGGCTACAACTATTGTACTCGAGTGTAATAGAGCTGATACTGGTGTTGGGCCTTCTATAGCTGAAGGGAGTCAAGGATGGAGTCCAAATTGGGCTGATTTGCCTGCTGCGGCTAATAGAATACCTAATAATGGTAGAATGCGGTGTTTGTGCTGTAAATAAATATTTGTTGTAGTTCTCATGAGTTTGTGTGGATAGTAAATCAGGCTATAGATAGGATTAGGCCGATATCTCCGATGCGATTATATAAAATGGCTTGTAGAGCTGCGGTGTTGGCGTCTGTTCGTCCGAATCATCAGCCGATTAGTAAAAATGATATGATCCCTACTCCTTCTCATCCAATGAATAGTTGAAATAGGTTATTAGCTGATACTAGGATAATTATGGTTATTAGGAATATGAGTAGATATTTTATGAATCGGTTTAGGTTTGGGTCAGAGTGTATATATCATGAAGAAAACTCTGTGATTGATCATGTGACAAATAATGCTACTGGGATAAATAGATATGAGAAGTAATCGAATTTGAAGCTTATGACTAATTTCATTGAGTTGATTGTTATTCAATGTCAGTTTGATGTAATAAGTTCATTATTGTTGTTAAGAAATATGAGTAGGGGAAGTAGGCTAAATAGGAATGATAATTTGATCGAGTTAATTACGTGTTTAGGGTAGTTATTTGAGTTGTATTTATTAGTTAATGATAGAAGTAAGGGGGTTGTTAGGGTTGTTAGGATTAGGAAGTTTATTGAGACGTTGATATTAATTACTTTTATTTGGAGTTGCACCAATATTTTGATTCCTAAGACCAATGGATTACTACTATCCTGTAAAAGTAGGAAAGCCGTGAGTGTAATCACGGTAGCATGAGTTAGCAGTTCTTGCTTACTTTCCTGGTAAATAAGAAATGTGTTTTCTATTTTTAGATTCACAGTCTAATGTTTTATGTAAACTATATTTACATTAAGGTAGTCCGAGGATAAGTTTAGGGTTAATGGAAATTAGGATAATTGGGATGATGAATACAACTTTTCTGCACTGTGTGTTATTTAGGAAGCTGGCTGGGAACCACCCTTCACATTGTGTTCCTCTTCCCTTTGACCCACAAGTGTGGGCCACAGTCAAAAAGTAGGTCATTTATACCCATTATTAGGATTGATAGGTTTGATCATGAAAATGAGGATGTAATGATTAGGAGCTCTCCAATAAGGTTAATTGATGGGGATAGTGCTAGGTTGGCTAGACTTCCTAGTATTCATCACACTCCTATAAGTGGGAGGATTGTTTGTAGTCCTTGAGCTAGTATTATAGTGCGGCTGTGGGTTCGTTCATAGTTGGAGTTGGCTAGACAGAATAGTAGGGAGGAGGTTAATCCGTGAGCGATTATTAGAGCTGTAGCTCCTATAAAGCTTCATGGTGTTTGGATTATAACTGCTACAATTACTAAGGCCATATGGCTTACTGATGAGTAAGCGATTAATGATTTAAGATCGGTTTGTTGTATGCAGATGGAGCTAGTTATTACTATGCCTCATAGTGATAGTATGATGAATGGGTAGGCTATGGTTTTGTTTACTATATCTAGTAAAATTGAGATTCGTATTATTCCATAACCCCCTAATTTTAGTAGTACGGCTGCTAGAACTATTGATCCTGCAATTGGTGCTTCTACGTGGGCTTTTGGGAGTCATAGGTGTACTCCATATAGGGGTATTTTTACTAGGAAGGCTAATATGAAAGCCAGTCATAGAATATGATTGGATCATGATTGACTTAGTGCAGGTTGTTCTAAGGATAATAGTACTAGGTTAAGAGTTCCGAAGGTGTTGTTAAAGTTGATTAGGGAGATTAGTAGAGGGATTGATCCGATTAGTGTGTAAAATAGGAAGTACAATCCAGCGTTTAAACGTTCTGTTTGGTTTCCTCAACGTGTAATAATAATTAGTGTGGGGATTAGGGTTGCTTCGAATAGGATATAAAATAGTATTAATTCTGTTGCGGTAAATGTTATGATGAGGAATACTTGAAGAAGTGCTAGGAGGCTGATATATATTTTTTTATAATTTTCTTGTTCTTTTGATAGGTGGTTTTGACTGGCTAGAAGTGTTAGTGGTAGGAGTCATGTTGTTAGGATTACTAGTGGTGTGGATAGTGGATCTGAGAAGAATGTTGTGGAGAAATTATAACTATTTGTGGAGTCTTGGTGTAGTAGGGATAGTGAGATGAGGCTAATTATTAAGCTATGACATGTGGTATTTGTTCATACTATTTTGTTGTTTGTGAATCAGGTTAGTGGTAAGAGTATAATGGATGGTAGAATAATTTTTAGCATTGTAGAAGGTTAAGATTTTGTACGTAGTCTGTGCCGTATGTATTTGATACTATTACTAGCAGTGCCAGACCTACAGCGGCTTCGCAAGCTGCGAAGACTAAAATAATGATTGGGATAATAAAGGATAGTATTGAGTGGGTGCTTAGTGTAACCAGGGATGTTATGATAAATAAAGATAAAATTATTCCTTCTAAGCATAGTAGTGTTGATATTAGGTGGGATCGGAATATTAAGGCTCCGAGTAGTGACAGGATAAATGTGAGGAGTAAGTTAAAGAATACAGGGGTCATTTGGTATTCATGGTTATGCCCATGATTTAATGAGTCGAAATCATTTGTTTTGTTTAAACTAATTACCAGTATTATTCTGTTCATTCTAGACCTTTGTTAAATCATTCGTATATTAGTCCTAAGGCTAAAATGATTAGTAGCCCTAGGGTTGTTAGTACTACTCCTGTGAGGTTTCCGTATTGGATTGCTCATGGAATGGGTAGGAGAATGGCTCATGGGATGGGTAGGAGAAGTGCAATTTCTAGGTCAAATAGGAGGAATGTGATGGCGATAAGGAAAAATTTTATGGAGAAAGGAAGGCGGGCAGATCCTATTGGGTCAAATCCGCATTCATATGGGCTGGCTTTGTCTGAGTATAGGTTTAGTTGTGGAAGTCAGAAGGCTACAGACACTAGGATTATGGAAAGACTGATGTTGATTAGTAGGGTAATTAGTAAGTTTATTATTCTTTTCAGAGGTTTGTTCTGATCTGTCTGATTGGAAGTCAAAAGTACTTGTTATACTAAAAGAATAGGACCCTCATCAGTAAATTGATACATACAGGAAAAGTCAGACTACGTCTACGAAGTGTCAATATCAGGCTGCGGCCTCAAAGCCGAAATGGTGTTTTGAGGTGAAGTGAAAATTTAGTTGTCGTAGGAGGCATGTGAGTAGGAACGTAGAGCCAATGATTACATGTAGACCGTGAAATCCTGTTGCTACAAAGAATGTAGAACCGTAGATGCCGTCAGAGATTGTAAATGGTGCTTCTAGATATTCTTATGCTTGAAGTAGGGTGAAGTACAGGCCTAGTAGGATGGTAATTAATAATGCTTGATTTATGTGGTTTCGTTTCCCTTCTATTAGGCTATGGTGGGCTCAGGTGATGGATACACCTGATGCTAAAAGCACTGCTGTGTTAAGCAGTGGTACTTCAATTGGATTGAGTGGGTTAATTCCTGTTGGTGGTCAGCATCCTCCTAATTCGGGTGTTGGAGCTAGGCTTGAGTGGTAGAATGCTCAGAAGAATCCGGAAAAGAAGAATACTTCTGATACGATAAATAGAATTATACCATATCGTAACCCCTTTTGTACTGGTGGGGTATGGTGGCCTTGAAATGTTCCTTCACGTACTACATCTCGTCATCACTGGTATATAGTTAGGATATTACCTGCTGTGGCGATTGTTAGAAGAGTGAAGGAGTTAAAATGAAATCATATGATAAGACCTGAAGTTAGGAGGAAGGCTGATAGTGCTCCTGTGAGAGGCCATGGACTGGGATTTACTATGTGAAAGGCGTGGGTTTGGTGGGTCATTACTATGTGTTGTCTTGTAGATACAGGCTTACTAGTAAGGTAAATACGTAGGCTTGGATTAGAGCTACAGCGAGCTCTAGGATAGTGAGTATTATTAGAATTAGGAAGGTAATACTGGCTGTTGATGGGCTAATTGAGGTTAATACTAGTGTAGCACCTCCAATTAGGTGAATTAGTAGGTGTCCTGCTGTGATGTTAGCTGTTAGACGGACGGCTAGTGCTATAGGTTGAATAAACAGACTAATTGTTTCAATGATAACTAATATTGGGATTAGGGTAATGGGGGTACCTTGGGGTAGGAAGTGGGCTAGTGATGCTTTTGTTTTATAACGGAAGCCTAGGATTACAGCTCCTGCCCACATTGGGATTGCTATGCCTAAGTTTATTGAGAGTTGTGTGGTTGGGGTAAATGTATGGGGAAGCAGCTCCTAGGAGGTTTGTAGACCCAATAAAAATGATAAGTGAGGTGAGTATTAGGGATCATGTGCAGCCTTTTGGTGAGTGTGTGAATATTATTTGTTTGGTAATAAGTTTAATTAACCATTGTTGGGCTGTTGTTACTCGGTTGTTGACTAATTTGTTTGTTGTTTTAAAAAACAAGGTTGGGAATATAATGATGGGCCTACACTCATAGGCCCACAAAAGACAGCTCTTGTGGATTTTTTGAGACTAGGTCTCCCTGTAGTTCTGAACCTCGCTATGTAGACTGGTTGACCTCAATCTCACAGAGATCCACCTGCCTCTGCCTCCCCAGTGCTGGGATTAAATGTGTGCTGCTCCTGTGTTTTGTAGGGAAGGAAAGATGCCTGTGCTCCCAGCTGTGTGGGTATGAGGCTGTGAGTCTTGGAGGGCTGGGTGATCTGCTAGGAACTACAGGGCTTCCCTTCTCTAGCTTTGCAAATGGAGAGAGGCATTAGGAGAGAGCCAGGAGAAGGCCTCTCTGGCTCTTTCCACCCTCCCTCTTCTACTCTGACTTTCTTCTTTCCTGGCCCTCTCCCACTCTGGCCTCTCCTACTCTGGCCCTCTTCCATTTTTGGCCTTGCTCAGGGGGCCATACCTCCAGGGGAAGGCTTTGGTGAGAGCTTTGCTGGGCACCCAGTGTGGGGCATAGACCGTCTGGGTATCTCCAGGTGGGTCAGGATCTTTTGGGGGTCTGCAGGAGGAAGTAGAATTGTTTTAGCCCAAATACCCAGCTTTTCTTGGGATCTTTACCAGAATTATAATGAGCTTCCAGACATTTATTTTTGCATATATCTGAAATCTGTTTACTATGGAAGAGTTACTAGGAGTTACTAAAATGCTGCAGTCATAAAAGTCAGTGTGCAGTGTTGGTTTTCCTGTGGTGTCGGATGTGTTCTGCTAGAAGCCTGTCTGCTACAGAAAGCTTGGCTGTGTTACCACAATTGAATTCCTGCAATTTTTGTATGAACGCTTTGTTTTTAGACATCATTAACACTGTCTTGAGTTGATTCTTTATTGCTGCTTTTCTGTGTTTATTTTGTTTGTTTGTTTTTTTTTTTGGTCTTCTTGAGACAGGGTCTTTCTGTAGCTCCAGCTGTCCTGGAACAGCCTTACGTGAGACTGTATCTCTTTTTTTTTTTTCTCCCGAGTGCTGGGATTAAAGGCGTGCGCCACCACACCCGGCTCTTTATTTTTTTTTAATTGTAGAATTTACTTTTATTTTGTGCTTTGGTGGGTAGCTTTGTTCTTATGAAATTGCTATATTCTTGCTATTTTTGGCTATTTAGTTTGTTTCCTGGCACTTTTTTTTTTTTTCTCCAGGAAAGTGAGAATGGGGTTTGGGAGGCCTGGAATGTGGGGCTAACTAAGCCTGTTCTTCTCAGTGGTGTATCCTGACTTGGTAACCCATGTTCCAGAAGTACAGGTTAAGTCTATAAGCAGCTTTTCCTTTCCTTTCTGTATATAGCACAAAGGTCTTGCTTATGTACCTAGATACCTGTAATAGGTGCTTACTTCTTTTTTGTCTGGTGCAGGAGAGTCTCAGTAGGCCCCTGTGTGTACCAGGCAAATCTCTGTCACTGATGTGCATGCTTCTTTTTTCTATTTAAAAAGTAAGATTCATTCATAAACTGAGAACATCATCAAAATAGGAAAAAGTTATGCTTTTGCCACCATATAGCATCATCATTGCTAATACACTGACTCTTCAAGTGTCAAGATATGAACCTGAACTTTCATTTCAACGCAAAGAGGAAGGAAGGAAGGAAGGAAGGATACCAGTAAAGTTCTGCAATGATTTTCCCAGTTACTGTCAGACTCCGCTATGTTTTGTACAATTACATCCTGAAATTTTCCTGAATGGTTCCATTAACTAGATGATGCTTGGTTTGTTATATCATTTTCCTCTTTTGGGCTTGCTTGAAGTTTCCTATTTGTTTTCTAATACCATAAATTAGAGCATGATAGATGTCCACATGCATAAAGACTGTCTTCTCGCCTTAGGATTATTTCTATATGACAGTTCCCCAAGGGTAGAATTATTAGGCCAAAGGTGATCCTTAAGAGCCAGCATATGTCAACTCCCTGGTACCCCCATGTACCTTACATGAATAGGGTCTGTGTTGTTTTCTAGGCCTCTGGTGTCTGACATCTTGGGGAGCTCTGGAAGCCAAGTAGGCTTTCTAGTCAGTTGCTGTCCCATTCTACAGGAAAGGAAGGTGGGCTGAGAGATTGATCTTGGGTGGGGCAGGTGGGCCAGGTCTCCTCTGGGCTTTTATTCTAATGTCCAGACCTGAGCTCCCACCTCTTCCACCTGTGCATCCCCTTGAAGTGTCCAGAACTTGACCTCCACTCTTTTCCTGTGCTGTGGCCCTGCAAACAGCCTGGCTGGATAGTAGGGAATGCAAGCCCGTGTTCTATGCCCTGACTGTCCCCTTGAAGCAGTGCTGCCAGAAACCACATCTGTAGAGCAGTGCCCCAGGAGGAACGGAGGGGCTGCCAGGTGGGACATGCTGGCTCTGGTTCGTTCTGTACTTGCTTTCCTTTTGCTTGCTGGAGAGGTCCCATGTGAACAGCTGGCCAGTCTTGCTGTTCACACTTGCAGCCCCTCCATGGACCCATGAACACTCTGCTCCTCACTCATATCCTTGGGCTTTTCTCTCTTCCTGCCTGTGGTGTTAATTTTGTCACCATCGGAAGCATCTTACGCAGTAGAAAAGAACAGGCCTGTGCCCATCTGTAGCTGGAAGGAGTAAAGAGCATCGACTTCCGAAGTGCTAGCATCCCTGTCCTGTCTCACATGGCTCTGAGGAGTTGTCATCTCTGCTTAGTGACAGGCCAGTGAAAGCAGCCCTTGCAGGCTGAGCTTTGATGTGTGATGTGTAGTTGTGGTAGAGTTCTCCCTGGGTAGGGCAGGCAGGCATCAGACAGTCAGCAGAGCCTTCAAGTGGCCAGAGGCCCCAGGAACCTTTCCTGGTCCAGCATCCCTGAAAGGTCCTCCTGTCTTGGGTCAGTTCATGTCATTTACCATTGCCAAGGGCTACTGTGGTGTTTCAGGTAGCCTTGTCAGAATGCTGCTTCACAGGCTCAGGTTGACTGGGACAAGTGGTGTGGTAGAGCCACAGGGCAGATGGTATGAAGATCCACCCAGTTCCGTGGGTTTCAGAAGAGATGAGTGAAGCATAAGTTTCATGGAGGGGCGGTACTTGAGGTTGGCCTTACAGCATGGTAAAAATTTACTTCATGGAAACTAGTAGTAAGTGGTTCAGACAGACACAAGTTAGGAAGGCTGGGACTTGTGTATAGGAAACTAACATATTGTCCATTTTGATGAATGCATCAGACCACATGCTGGACAGTGGTGAGATGGGGAAGAAGGCTGATGTGGGCAGAGGAGGAATGGCTGCCAGGTGGGGGCTTGGCCCTGGATGCAGGAGACAGACTTTATGGGCACTTTTGATGAAGAAGAATCTGATTGGTTTTGTGCATTAGGAAAGCTGATGTTCTATGAGGGTCAGAGGTGGGTCTGGCTGCAAGCCTTTCTGTGTATCTGTGGCCAGTCACTCAGGACAGCTGGTGAGACTGATGTGGAGCTACCTGGCCTCAGCAACAGACCAGCTGGAGGGTATGTGTGCATGTGAGTGCATGGCCTGTTTTGGGGCACCTGCATATGCATGGATAACAAGAAAAGTGCTCCTGAGACCGGAAAGCCCTCAGTGTGTAGTCTCTGTTTTTGCCACAGAGCTCAGGCCTGGAGGGCCTTTGCATTGTCTTCCATAGGAACGTTTATAAACTCTTTTTGTTTTGTGGTTTTTGTTTATTGAAACAGATTCTCACAAGGTAGCCCTGGCTGGCCTGCAACTTGCTATTCTATATATATCAAGCTGACCTTGAACTTCCAAGTTGGGATTAAATGCAAGTGGTTTAGACCATGAGGAACTAGAGCAGTTATACGAGTGGGCAAAGCAGACAGTCGTCCATTCATCTCAGCTGGGGACATAGATTCCTGTAAACCCAGGTAAATATTCTTGCCATGGAACCATGCACCCATCAGTTGTACACTTTAATATGAACTAGCCCCATCAGATTGCTTTCTTCTGGGTACTGAATTAAATCAGATGCACATGGGAATGTGTTTGTTGGATAAACAAATGATGCTGAGAGAAAGATGGGGAAGGAGTTCTCATAGAGATAGGCCTAGACTTATCCAACAAACTCCTGTGGTCAGAGAGACAGATTGGTAGGAAGAAGAGGAGGCCAAGGCTGGATTCCAGCCATGGTGAGGAAGCAGCTTGCCTCCCTGAGTAACTTTCTTCCTGGATGCTGTGAATCTCATCCTGGTCTTCAGGCCTGGCCTAGCGCCCAGCTTTA